ACATTTCCCATGAGGTAGTTTCTTAAAGGAGACAGCTCTTAATTCCTATATTAGCTATATACTGTGGGGGGAACACCTAACACTAGACAAGGGTGCCTTATACTATTGTCAGTGGATATAATGGTGTTCTTTTCCTTCCCAGAAAGTTCTTGGTATAAACTAGGCTGTTTTGGGTTCAGTTAGTTTTATTGGTTAACTATAGTTTCATGGGATCTGAAATAATTGCCATATATTGAAGACCAACTAAAGCGGTTAAATATCTTTGGTTTCACTTGCAATCTTTTCAAGAAGTGCAGAGCTGTTTATCCACTTTTCTATCCTGTATAGTTTATATCCTGTTTGATTTTGAATGGCAATATGAAGTCGCCACTTGGGAAATTCCTTAGTGAAGAGCAAAAAGCAGAGCTTATCAGAACAGTTAAGGCCAATGTGGAGGATGTGGTGTTGCTTGCTGCTGGCCAACACAAAAAGGTGGTAAGTAGAATATTGATGTCCTTAGTCTTTCTTTGGGCACCAGAAAAAAAATAAATCTAAATTTATTTATTTGTTTAAATTTAAATTAAATCTGGTTCTTCTTGACCAGGAAGAAATGTTTCCACTGATGAAGCTGTTTCTTCTTTATTAAACTGAACATTAATTCACCCTTGAATATATTATCTCCTAGCAAATGACTAATAACCACTGTGTTTTAAATCAGTATTTTTTTTAAAAAAAATCATTTAGAAAAAACTGCTCCTAACAATTACAAGTTGACAATAATACGCTGCTTGGAGTTAGAGGTGCAAGTATTGGGACTTTCTATTAGGTCACCCTTTTCTCTCTTCTGTTCTCTTGTTTTCAGTGCTCTGCATTAGGAAAGCTACGCTTGAAGAGTGCTGAACTTCTGGAAGCCAAAGGCCTGTTACTTCGTGATCCTTCTGCCTTTCACTTCCTCTGGGTGGTAGAATTCCCACTTTTCCTCCCAAAAGAAGAAAATCCCGAAGAATTAGAAGCTGCTCATCATCCTTTCACTGCTCCACATCCTTTGGACGAGCATCTTCTCTACTCAGATCCCAGACAGGTGCCTTTATGTTGTTGTTTTTAATATACAAAACAGAACACCGCAGACAAAGAATTGGACAAGATGATAAAAGCAAAATATTTTTTATAATTAGCAATTTAATCTTAGGACCAGAAGTCTACCTTATCTGAAAAAGATGTACTACAAAATCAGAGCTGGAGAAAAATAGGATTATAAACATTATGGTTTTCTTGGCCTCTAATTACCTTGTTCAAAAATGTTCACTCTATTTCTGTCAACTTCAGATGTGTAGTTCCCATTAGTTGCAAAAGCTCTATTGGGTGGGATTTCCTGTTTCACAAGGGTTTTGGCAGATAGACCTAATAGTACAAATTACATTGTTTCCTTCTTTTTGCTCGCCAGGTTAGAGGTCAGCATTATGATCTGGTATTGAATGGTAATGAGATTGGAGGTGGCTCTATTCGAATCCATAATGCAAAGCAGCAGCGTTTCATACTTGAGACAGTTTTGAAGGTAATTATTTGTACTAAAATAGTCTTGTATATTTAATTTAGCAACATAGCAATTAGACATATACTGTCACATACTACTTTATAGCACTTTCTGGATGGTTGACGAATGTCACCTCTCAACAATCTGGGGCCTCATTTTTATTGACCTCAGAAGGATGGAAGACTGAGTCAATCTTGAGCTGGTCGGGGTCAAACTCCAGATGGTGGGCAGAA